AGCTTTGAGTAAATATCTATAAAAGACTTCTTCTTCTCCGTTTTCTTTTCCTTCCAGCACTCTTGAGCAAAAAATATTCAACGGCTGAGCTTTTTTTTCTTTTTTCTGAATTCAAATTCCCATTTTTGATTGATATCTTCCTTCTAATAATGGAAACAACAACAGAAATTAAGGCAGAAGGGGAGGAGGAGGAGCAGAGCAGCCAGCCGCAGATTGTGGATGTCGGTTGGTTGGCGCAAATCAGATAGGTTTCTTATGCTCTTATTACTTTCTTAAAGGAACAATGAAATGCAATTTGCTGGTGAACTTCAACAGTTCAACCTCGAGGGTGTCATTATTGCCTGAAAATTTCATCAGGTGATCGCCAGGTTGTTGTCAATTAAAGTTTTTATATTCTAGTCTTGGAAATGATGATAGTGACTCGGCATTTAAAAGGTTACATTTAAATTACTGCTATCCTATTCATAGCTTATCATTTGTTGACTTTCTCAAAAAGGAAGCATTTCGTTGTATTGTATCTAGTTAGACAGCACATAAACTAAGGTTACCAAGAGGCAGAAGCTAATAATACTCTGCTAATAACTTATCAGAAGTGTATATTTTAAGACAATCATGTCACAGCCTTCAAACTTTGGGCATGATTTCAGGAGCTTTTTCTTTTCTCTTGTTGTTAAAGCATCTTTTGGTAGTGACTATGACAAAATGTGTGACTTGGTCCAAAAAAAAAAAAATGCAAGTTTTTGTAGTAGTTCATCTTACTAGAGATCCAAACAGACCCTTTGTGTTTCTTCTACGTAGTTTTTGAGGATATTCTGCTTTGCTACTTTTAAGCTTGATCTCTCGTAATCAACCAACTGAATCCAGTTATGACTCATCTCTTCCACCTAGTTGTGTAAATTGACTTCTGGTTGCCAGTGTACTTATTTGATGTTATTTTATATATGTGGAGCCATTTCATCACTCTTTCTATAAGTTGAAAATGGCAGCTGCTTTTTCTTGCTTTCCACAAGTTCCTTTTGCTGGCACTACAGTTAATGGATTATTTTTCTTGATGATTTTTGCCAATTCTCTAATTGAATGCTTCTCAAACTGTTACATTTGGAATCTACATTTCTAGGCCTCTTCTGCTTTCTTCTTCTTGTTATATTGATACTTTTTTTTGTATATAATTCCTAAATTATTCGATTTCTACTAATTGTTTCAGCATTTTTAATTTAGTTTTTGGATCATGTCTTGAACAAGGATGACTGGAAATTTGATTTTGTTGCAGATGCTGAATCGTCAAGTGGTTAAGGGTCTGTTTGATAACATAAAAAAGTGTTGAATCTAAATTTTTTCAGACATTCAGATGTTTTAAGTGTTTGATAAATGAAAATCTATTTGTTGAACTTGTTAAGCAGTGCTGAACCTGTGTGTATTTTTTTCAGCACAAGAATCCTAACTGAATGCTTAATTCTTAAAAGAATCAATAGAATTACTTCAATTACCTTATATTATCTACCAAATCTACCCTTGTTTGTTAATTATGTTCAAATTTCTTATCTAATTAAACAATCTAATATTCTCTATCTAATGATTTTTAGTTTCTCTTTTCTCCCTTTTTAATGACTTTCACATCTTCTCCATACTCCTCATATAATATATTTCATCTTTTATATTAATTTGATTTGAAAATAAATATTGTCATTTTCATACCTTACAATTTTAAACTAATTAAATCATAGATTCTAGATTTCGAGATCTCTTCGGAGGCTCAGCGTGGCTCTTTGTCCACGGTACAATTTTTCAAACCTTCTTTTTTTTTTGTCAATTGTTACTTTTTATTTATAGTATCCTATACTATCCTAATCGAAGGGGGAGACTCAACTGGGTCTAGGAGAGTTGATGAAAACTGAACTACCACAGGATCAGACAGGTACACTACGCACCCGTCTGGATATTTTTTTTTTTTTTTTTGTCAAACCTTCTTAGCAATGCTAGAATTTGGTTAGCAATTTGGACAGTTTCACTCCTAGTATGTCTTCAGGCCGGGTCAAAGTAGTCTGCAGGATTTTTGGGTGTTTCCTGCGGTCTTGCGTTAAAATTGGAAGGCCATGTTATTTTGGCATGAGTGAAAAGAGGTGTTGCAATTGTATTTGGGTATAGGAGGCAGTACTAACCCTTGAGGAGAGAGGCGATGCAATTGTATTTGGGTTTAGGAAACAGTACTAACTCTTGAGGAGTTTCTCCCACCCTTGCTATAATTTGAGCTATTCGCCATAGTTTTCCCAATCAATTGTTACATAAGTATCTGTATTGTATTTAGATACTGGTAATCTAACAAAACCAAGTATGCTCTGTTTATGCAAATTATCGTACATAAACAAACGAAAAAAGTTTGTGTTTGGATTGCATTTTTCGTCATTTTTCATGGAAAAATTACTGTAGCGATTTGATATATGTGAGGGAAAAAGGTGATAGGGAAATATGATCACGGAAAACGATAATATTTTCCGACGGAAACAAGCAATCCAAACAAGGCCTCTCCTCAAAATTTTGTCTTGAATTGAAGTCAATTGATTCCAGTGCTATGCGAGGGTGCAGTGCTGTTGCTGGAAAGGTACTTAGACAATAAAAGCATTTTCAGAATGTAACTAGTCCACTCTCCATAACTTGAAAAATAGGGCTTTGGTACGGAAAATATTTTCATACCAATGGGTAATATTTGGTGCTTTTCGAACATCTTTTACATTCAATGGAAATTAAAGAAAAAGTGATCTTTAACACAAAGACAAAACTAAAACTAGGATTATGTTTAGATAGAATTTGTTTCTTTTGCATGTGTCTATTTGCCGAGTATGCGTGTTTCTTATATTTTCAAAAAATCACCAATTATGTGCATCTATCTATGGATTCATGAAGCATACAAATTATCTTTTGACATGAATTACAACTGTCTAACGAACCATTATGTCTATGCCAGTTTTTGAAGTAAAAACTGTGAATAGCTTGATGGTAGGCTTTTTAAACAAAAAAAAAAAAAAACTAATTGACAGAAATGTACTTATTATGCGGCACTTTTTTTAGAGCTGTAGTGGCAAAAATTAATCCGTCACAAGCAGCTGCGCTCCCACAAAAAACTGCTCCTTAGACTGCATTTATGTGAGATTATATTGGCACAAGTAAGTTTATTTGTTAATCACAAGGAATTAAGAAGGTAACTTTCAGGATCCTTCACTCTTAATTTTCTTCAAACATCTTCATGCTGTTGTCAAAACCTGAAATAGGATTTTTCCAAGATGAAAAGCAAATATTCCTTGCTTCTGCTGCTGAGGCACCGTGACGGAAATCTCTGCCTGGAAAGGGCATTACTTGATTTCTTTTTACCAAATTTGGGGTAGGAGAATACCAGATAATGAGGAACATCTTCAAACATAACTTATACGTGGAACGTCGGTACACTTTTATGTGCAGCGGAAAATGAAGATGAATTTCTTCCCCACAAAAATGGGGAAAAATGGGAGTGAGATTGCATGAAGTAACTATTAAACAATAAAGCCTCGATAACGGGCGTGAGAACTAGGCTCACAGCAGTTATTATCATCTGGATGAGAGAAGCTTTATGCTTAAAAAAATAAATAAAATAAATTGAAATAAAAAGGACGATCAAATTGATTTGAAATGTTACACCCCAACCTAAACGAGTAGAATGACACAACAAATTAACCAAAAACCAAATCTTAACCTCTTCTTGATGCATGGTCAAGGCAAATTCTCAGGATTCACTAGAGTCACGCGAATGCCAATTCTGAGCAACATTCAATCAAAGCTGAGCCAAAATGTCATCCATTTGTTTGTTCCACTTGGATGTGGTCTAAATACTCTCACCCTGATGAAATTTATAAAAATGCTCGTTCCTCTTTAGAACACCATAACCAGTGAAGGCGACGCATGATTAATATCAAACGATGAGCCGCAATTGCCTAAGCATCCACCCTCCATGTACAATGAACAATGCCTCCAGCTGCCCGTTCCCTTGCGCCCCCCCCCCCCCCACAACCACCGCCACCACCACCACCACCACCACCACCACCAACAAAACAACCCCAGACAAAAAAACCCGAAAGGAAAAAAGGGGGAAAAAAACAACACAGAGAGGCAAAAAAAAAGGTACATCACAAGAAAGTATGTAATAAAGGATCATTTGTTCAGGGAAATGGGAAGAATAGAGGAGAAAAGACAAGCTGTTCTACCTGGTCAAAACAGTTTGATCCTTGTAAGTAGTAATCTTTCAATGTCACAAAAACTGACTAATGATCTCTAGCCTCTAGTACACTGACTAATGATCTCTAGCTATGCAAGAATTGACTATGAACAGCTACAAATCAAGGATGCCAAATATATTAACTACAGGCAAGCAGATAACTGACCTACAATATACATAGACTTAATGAGAGAACTCATTCGCATTGCATCTCATCCTATCCCATGAGCAGTATGAGCAATTTCAAAGACCTAGTCAATCACAATTAGAAACATAAGAGTTCCAGATTGCATGCACCAGATATAACTCAAGGTGTGGACGTATATTCTTCCCATTTATTTTCCCTTTGACATAGTTAAGAATCCAAATAGGTTCAGCAGGACAGAGATCCAAACACTTCGCAAAACTCAATTACCGAAAGCCTTAAATGGGAAAGTGCATTTTTAAGAGAGAAAGTACATTTTTAAGAGACGCAGATGGATAAACCAAATCCATCATGCAACAAGGGAAATTTGCAACACTGTACTTCTGTAAGTACCCCAAAATAAACCCAAAAATTCTAAGTGTTTATGCAAGACTTTCAACACAAACTTGTTCCTTTCTGCTTTGACCATGATACAAAGGATTGTACCGGAAAAAATCTTGACTAATTATAATGAAAATAAACAAGCAATTCGATAACCCACCAAAAACAAGTAGGCACTTGAACTGACAATCTAAGATCCTGATACATGCACACATGGAAGCATACCAGAACTAGAAGACAAAGTAGAAGCCATATGTGAAAACTAGAAACATTTGCAATGTATGAAAGTCAGATGTAGGCCACATTCAGCAAAATGTTAGTTCGCACAAAAATGAAGGCATTAAAATATAGCTAATAAACCTCCCATCACAAATATCTGAGCAAAATGCTAAGCAAAACTAGTCAAGTGACCTACTTCTTGCCAGTCTTCTTCTTTGAGCTAGTATTAGCAGACACCGGTTTGGGATGCTTCTCAGCTTCACTTGGGTCCAACCATTTGAGGGGATGGCGATTGAAAAAAGGCCAATTGGGAACAGTAATGAGAGAAGTCAATAGAACGCCAGAAGCATATATCAGCAGCATTATCTGAAATGAGCCCAAAACAAAGCCTGAAATAAATGCCACCACAGCAAAGCTCACCAGCATTATCTGCATGAGTTGCTCTGCTAGCTTCTGCCCTTGCCAATCCATCTATCAATAGATAGCATAAAATGTCTATCACACAAAAAATCAATAACATAAAGAACGAGGATAAGAACTGGAGATAGATGGCAACACATCCAAGAACGAAGTACACTAATACTCAATTCCTTGGGACACAAATGCTATTCTAGCAGAGAACCACGAGGCTTATACTAAAATGGTAAAAGAATCCGCAGTCTGGGATCAAAATGGTAAAAGAATATCTTCATCTTGCAGAGAGTATATACTAAAATTTGTAGCACTCTAAACGACATGACAATGAAAACTAGTACTACGATTCAGATCTAACAACCCCAGCTTGCAATAGCAACTAGAAACTTCACCAACAAACTATCAAAGCAATTGAAAACTGTCAATTAACTAAATTGTGAAGCAAAAGTGATCTTCAAGGATTAAAATGGCATCCTCATAATTCACATACTATTTAAATCGAGAAGCTCAATACAAATATCAACAAATACAATGCCGAGCAAGTTCAAGATTTATAAGACACCATAAAAGAGGTCAAACGAGCTCCCTGTAATTAAAAATTCACCCAAAAAAATCCAAATTTGAGGGAAAGAGTAATTTTAGATGCTCAAATCGGATTAAGACTCCAACAAAAGTAGCTCAGGTCAAACTATAAACAGCTCGAATTTCATTAAAAAGAATTTAAAAAAAAAGAACAGATCTATAAATATTTAAAAGAAAAAAGCCCAAACGAAATTAGCTGAAGACTAAAAGCAGGACAAGGCATGATTGACATAAATTCCCAATATTTAGACAGAAGATTCATATGGCAGTAGTAGTACCGAAATCATCCGTATGGCGACAGAAGAGCGAAACAAAAGATCACACGGAACTGATAATTAGGAACGAAAAAAAGAAAGAAGATGAAGATTTAAAAAAAAAAATGGGGAATATAAAAAATTACCTGGGAAATGGAAATGTGAGGGAAGTGAGCCTGAGGGGGAAGCTGCGAGAGTAGGCGGTGGGAGTACGCGCAGAAGAGGAGGAAACGTCCCAAGAAATGGAGGAAACGGATAGGTGAAGTCGTGAAGAGATATAATAGTAATACTTAAAAAAAATAATAAAATGAAAGAATAGGTGCGGGCCAACAAAATACATGAAACGCAAATTAGAAGCATCCGAGCCCAGCTGAGTTGCTAAATTATTGCGGAAGGTGGCCCAGTTCGGAAGCCTCAGAAGGCCCAGTCCACGTGGGCACACTCACAATAGAATTCCCAACTGCCGGCCTTTCCAATTTTCGTGAGAGAAATCCAGAAGCACTGAAGAAGAAGAAGAAGAAGATGATGATGATGATGATGAAAATGAAATTCTCACACTTGAATAAAGATTCCAGTAAAATCCTCACCACTAAGATAAAACGGATGATCTAATTTGCGATATTACTCTTCTTCGCTGTTGTTTCTCGCTAATAGGAAGTGACTACTTAGTAGTAGAAGTACAGACTTCCGACTAGCTCTTCCGGTGATGATGATCCGTCCCATTTCACTTATCCGCCTTAGGACGACGACGTTTTTAACAGTTCCACTTTCCTCAGCCCTGTTCGCGGTTGATGGCTGCCACCGCTATTTCTCCATCTTCGCCGCAGCGGCTCGGCGCCACTCCCAAAACCTTAGCCAAAATGTGTCCAGGAAGCCTGATCAACCTAACAAAAACCTCCTCAAAGCTCGCGAAACTGTTAAGCAGCTCTCCTCTTTGGCTCCGGTTCTGAACCAAGACAATAAGCCTCGGCTCTCGAAAAGCCAAGCCGTCGGGCTAGTGGCCGCTTCCCAAGCAAATTTCATGCGCGTCATTGTCCAACAGCTTCCTGAAGAAGAGAATGAAAATGAATTAGCAGATTCTGGAGGAGGAGGAGGAGGAGGAGGAAGAGGAGCAGCAGGAGAAGGAGCTATTGGAATGGAATTGCTGTGTGTGGTGAAGGTTGTATTGAAAAAGATAAAAAGGAGAGTACTAGTTGGGGATAAGGTTTTGGTAGGCTCTATTGATTGGGTTGATAGGAGGGGGATGATAGAAGATGTCTTCCAAAGAAAGACGGAGACCGCTGATCCGCCCGTGGCAAATGTGGATCATTTGTTGGTTCTTTTCTCCATGGACCAGCCCAAACCGGAGGCGCTTGCTTTAACGAGGTTTCTGGTGGAAGCTGAATCCACCAGAATTCCTTTTACTCTTGCATTCAACAAGTCTGAACTTGCTACTGAAGAGGTCCGGAGATTCAACACATTTTCCTAGTGATGCTCTGCTTATTCACTAGTTAGATTTCAATTACCTATTTGCAAGTTAGCGAGATTCTCATACCCAAGTTTATTGTGAAATGTGCTTCGTTTTTCGAGCTTTGTATTAATCATAATTTTAGTTGATAAAGTTCATATTTAGGATAAAATGCTAGTATGTGTTTGCTATTGGTCGCTGAAGTTCAGGTTATGCATGCCCTAAATATAAACTTGTTTTGATCTCAATGATCTGTAAACTTGTTTGGATTTTTCTGCATCTTCCATGCCTAGTTATGTTGTGTTTTCTATTTTGGCTGTTATCTGTTTGGGCTGCGACCTTATTCGTACTTTCTGAGGCTTCTTACTAAGTCTATCTGCAACTCTCTATCTGAGGGGGATATAATACATATCACTGAGGCAACTCTCTATGGTACTATGCCTCCCATTTTGGTTGATCAAACTTTGGATTGAAAGGCCTCTTTTGAAAAATTTCACCGTTAGATTCTGTTCCATTTTGTATTCTGCATCAATCCCTGGTCATCTAGGAATTGGGATTGCACTGTATTCTGTGCTCGTTCTTCCATCGTTGGTGGCTGTTTCCTCATTTTCCCATATTTTCTTCCCATTGTTTGTTTACTTAAACAAAAAACAACAAACTTCTGCAGATGCTGTTTACTTGGAAATCTAAGCTTCGGAGTTGGGGTTATGAACCAATATTTTGTAGTGTTGAATCAAAGCATGGAATTGACACCTTGCAATTCAACCTGAGAGAACAAACTTCTGTAATCGTAGGTCCAAGTGGCGTTGGGAAATCCAGCTTGATCAATGCTTTGAGGAACAATAAACATTTTGTGGGCGTTTCTGAACAGGATAATTGGTATTATCCAGTGGGTTCTTCCTCTTAGTTTACCTTTTTTCGCCCTTCTTTATGGCTATTGCTTGTAGGTTGTGTAGACCCTTCTAAATTCTCTCTGTGATCCTGTCTACCCTTATCTCTTAGATTCTTGGCAGCAAGTGGTTTGAAGAGCAACGTGTTGCAGAGGTGTCAACAAGAAGTGGAAAAGGAAAGCATACTACTCGGCATGTTTCTTTGCTTCCATTGATGGGCGGGGGTTATCTTGCTGATACACCAGGATATAACCAGCCAAGTTTGATTAAAGTCACGAAGCAATCTCTTGCTCAACATTTTCCAGAGGTTTCTTCTCTTGCACTACTTTCTTTTGTTATCTTTTTCACCTGTTGAAGTTGATGAGGCCATTTTTTCCAGTTTTCATTCCATGATGAAGTATTTGGTTGAATTTTTACTTTAAAGGGGCTTTACATTTTATTTAACTCTCTTCAGATACGTAAAATGCTCAAGGATATGGAACCTACAAAATGCTCATTTAGTGACTGCTTACACCTTGGTGAACCTGGGTGTATTGTAAGTGGGGATTGGGAGAGGTATGCTTACTATCTTCAACTGCTGGATGAGATTAAAATCAGGGAGCAGTTTCAACTAAGGACAATAGGAACTAAGAAAGAAGGTGATGTAAGGTATGTTGAGAGTATTTGCAACTTTTGAATGTCTGCTTCCCTGTTATGTGAATTTTTCAAGTTCTGTATGCATACTTTATTACAACTTGAGCATGTTTATTTGATGTGATGGAAAAGAATATTAATAGTTACTCCTGTGTCTGGACTCTAGTAGACTACTAATGCATTTCAAACTAGAAGAGAATCAGGATCACATGCAGCATCAGCATTTGCAAATAGAAGTCCTTCATCTCAGAATAGTGTTTCTGATTTGTTCCATCAAAACAATTCTCCAATGAATATGATGTTACAATAGTTACATGGCGATCTTTACATTTTTAGGAGATTGTAAGCATATGAGATTGACTCGCTTCAACCTCTGGAAAATAATCTGGAAATAACAGCTTTTTCCGTTATAACATAGCACGTTAAGTGTTGGCAACAGATGATTTGAAGTTTTATATGAACCTTGTGTTACATCTTTCTTAAGCTGAGAATAGACGACTAGAGTCATATTTCCTGCATGTTTACACCTTTGTCAACGAAGCGATTATCAATCTTACTGTTGCAGCATTTGCTGAATTGACAGTTTTTTCCTATTCTTCTGCATTTTCTTCCTCTTTTGTGGATGTTCTCTGGAGCTTACATTGGTTCAAAACTTCCTATTCAGGTACAAGGTGGGAGGCAAGGGTGTCAAGCAAGCAGAGCCACGGTTGGAACCAAAGAAGCACAGAAGGCAATCGCGTAAAAGTCTTAATCAGTCAATATTAGATGAGCTGGATGAATATTATGAAGATGATGATGAAAACATAGCAGATGATGAAGATCTCATTTTGAGGGCCATGAGGCAAGAAAATGAGTAGTCTTAGTCGTAATCGACTTACATAATCCATAGTATATAGCTCTTTAAGCTTTTAGGCTGGATGCTTTTAGGTTGAAACCTCGTTGTACAGTTTGTAAGGGGCAGGGGGAAGTTGTTTGTGGTCTAGGACCTTTCATTCTAATTGTCCGGATTGCAGTTGTCAATTGAAGACTTTTTGGATGTTAACGAACTTATGTCCCATGTCAGTTCTAGTCGTAGCTCAGACAGCGCAGCTGGGATTTTTCCAACATGAAAAGCAAATTTTCCTTGCTTCTGTTGCTGAGGCACCATGGCAGAAATCTCTACCTGGAAAGGGCATTACTTAGTTGACTTCTTTTGGCCAAAGTTGGGATAGGAGAATACCAGATAATGAGGAACATCTTCAAACATAACTTATACGTGGAACGTACTTTGTTTGGATTGCATTTTCTTGGATTTTTTATAGAAAAATTATTGTAGCGATTTGATGCATGTAAGGAAAAAAGGTAAGAACATCTCCAATGGTGGTGTAATGTCTGACATTATAATGGGTTGGTTACACGGCCACCCATTACACGCATTATGGCCGTGTAACACCCATTACAAAATTTAAGAGCCTGACTCTAATTTTGGCCAGCAACTTCGACTAGATTCATTTTTTGCAACGATAAATTTGAAATGTTAATTTTTTCAATGGTCAGATTTTAACCCTCTATATAAATGCACAACACACTTTTTTTTCATATCTCAGTATTCTACTCTATTTTTTCTTTTACTCTCTCACTCATTTAATTCATTTTCTGTGATTATGGATGAAAATTTTAGTAGTTTTACAAATATGTTAAATGCTCCAAATATAGAAAATTCATCATCCTCACAAAATCAAAACCCCCCAAATTTTCCAAATTACCCAAAATTACCCATTTCCAAATTCCAAAATTATTAATTAAGTATGGATTATTATGATATCTTCACATTTGAGGTATCAAATATTTGTTTAATTTTCTGCATAATTATGTTTCAAAAAAACACAAAATAATTTTTGAGAGATAGAAAAAGATATATTGTTCAAACTTAAAAATCAATAATATCATTTTTAGAAAATAAAAAATTCAAAAGGTAAAAAATTTAATGAAAGTTAATACTTTATTTTTAAAAATAACAAATTATTTTTAAAAATTACTTTATTTATTTATGGGATATGAGTCATGCATTATTAAAATAAATATTTGATTTAATTGTGAACTCATACTATTACACCTTTTGGAGTGTAATCTATTGTGAGTGGAAGTGTAATAAAAGAAGAGAAAGTGGAATGCTGACGTGACATGTGGATTACACTCTAAAGAATGTAAACCATTGTGGATGCTCTAATAGGGAAATGTGATCGCGGAAAACGATGTAATTTTTCGGCGAATGATGGCTGTCCAAACGGGGTTATGTGCAGCGGAAAATGAAGATGAATTTCTTCCCTACAAAAATGGGGGGTGAGAACTGACATGTGGATTACACTCTAAAGAATGTAAACCACTGTGGATGCTCTAATAGGAAAATGTGATCGCGGAAAACGATGCAATTTTTCGGATGGCTGTCCAAACGGGATTATGTGCAGCGGAAAATGAAGATGAATTTCTTCCCCACAAAAATGGGGGGTGAGAACTGAGAAGTGAGAAACCATGACTTGGTAAAAGGATGCTTGGAGTCGGGAGATAATCCGCGGAGCACGAGACTGCATGAAGTAACTATTAAGCAAAATAACGGGCATGAGAACTAGGCTCACAGCAGTAATTATCATCTGGATGAGAGAAGCTTTATGCTTAAAAAAAAAATTAAAATAAATTGAAATAAAAAGGACGATCAAATATCTTATATGGATGATTAAAATTTATTACTTTTTTGTTTGAACTTACCATTTTATTTGAAAAACTTACATACAACTAGATTTAGTAAGTTTAATGAGATCAATTTGAACTTGCCATTTTATTTGAACTTAGTAAGTTTTATTAGATAATTGGTAAATTTGTCTAAATAAGTGGTAATTTTTTTAATTTATTTTTTTATTGTACAAACTTACTATTTTACTTGAAAAACTTACATATAGCTAAATTTGTAAGTTTAATCAAAATAATAGTAAGTTTTGTTAGATAAATAGGAAGTTTTACTAATAAAAATATAACTTTTGAAATTTACTACTTTATTGGACAAACTTACTACTCCCTCGGTCTCGTATATTTAGTTATTTTTTGGGATATGTACTTTTTATGCATAGTACACTCTATCAAAAAAATTTTCCTTTTATTCCACTATTGCCCTTAATCATGTGCTAGTCAAAAGTAAGAAGTAGAAAGCAATCCCATCACATTTGTCTTTATACATAATTAATGAAGGATATAAAGGAAATTTCAGAGTATAAAGTAGTTAGAAATATCAAACATGATAAATATTTTGAAACAATCAAAAAAGAAAAGTATGATACTTTCAATAAAACGGAGGGAGCAATTTACATCAGAAATCTACCTATTGCTAAAGTGAGTAAGTTTGACAAAAAGTATAGTAAATTTCATTACATAAATGATAAGATTCAATATTAAAAAGGTAAATTAAGTAAATTTCATTACATAAATGGTAAGATTCAGTATTAAAAAGGTAAATTTTCTTAAGTACTTAAAACTTACCATTTTACATGAAAATCTTACGGATTTAGTTGGAAAAGTTACATATACCTTTGAATGAGTTATTTAATTCACCAAAAAGGATCGCAAAAGGCTCTAAACTATCACAAAAGAAAAGAAAATCGGATGTTCCCAGCAACTCTCAATATTTTATTGCAAGTCACCTAACGAAATCCGCACCGTAGGACTGTCCGGCAAGTCAACTCATTCCTAATGGTTTCATTTTTGCCGCACCAAATAACGCGGAAGCCTATTCTTTGCCTTTTGCGTGTGAACAGCTTCACAAAGAGGAAAATGAATGTAAATTGTAAAAGAGTTGAGAAATTCTTGTGCGTGGTTTGCCGAATGCTGACTTTTATGTCCATGGATTATCAAAATACTACTAATATTACTGTATAAGAGAAGCAAAATACTAAAATTTCTCTCCTGGATTGTCAGTTAAATGCTGACTTTGATTCGTATATACTATAAGGTACTTGTATACTTGAGAATATTATTATAATCTGAGAAGCAAAATACAGACTAATCGGTTTTGATTTCAAAGTGATTGGCCCCCATTTTTGTCTCTGTTGCTGCTGAGGATTGAATGATGGCTGAATATCATGATAATCTTGGTCCTGCCTTGCAAGATCTCCAAGACCAGTTGCAGAGTGTGAGACTTAAGCAACATCATGATCAGCAGCATCAACATGGATCTCTACGGCTTTTGGCTAGAGTTAAGAGGATGATTGTGCAGGATTCGAGCGAGGTAGAGGATGATGTGTTGTATGATGCTCTGGCTGCTCTTATTGATCGACTTCAAATGGAGGTGCCATTTCTGTTGGCATTCGAGCATTATGTTTCCTTCTGGGCTAAGCTGTCTTTTAGACCTTTGCTCAATAAAGTTGGTATAGCGCTGTCTGAGATTGCCAAGGACATCAGGCTTGCTCGTGAAAAGAATTACATTTCCAAAAGCCCTTCGAGATTGATGGATTTCCTTCGCCACTCACAACAAAGGGTTGAGCGCATGAAGCCAGAAATTGGAGAAGCTAATCGCATTTTGCTCACCGGTAAGTTTGAATTACCCTCTCACCTGCCTGAGTATCCATTCTGGATAGATTCTGTTTTTACTCTAGCAAGCAGTCTTAAGGCTTTCCTGGACACTGTTGATACAGATCTTCATGCACCACTTTTAGCCTTTCAAGTTAAGCTAAGGTCATTTGGAACTTTCCTTCAATGTGTGGTAGTTTGTGTTTCTGTACCTTAGCTGAACTTAAGGTGCGTGAATTAGATGCAGCGATGTGGGCATCAGATCCTGAATCATTTATGAAACAATTCCTTCCTAGTCACATACTTGATAGTTTGATAAAGCATGTAGCTTCTGTGGCCATTCGCTTAGCAAACCTCTCTTGCCTTTACTGGTTCAAGGAAGTGGACACTGATGAGAAAAGAAGGACGATCATTGGGATTTTGAATTTGCAACAGGAGATTGACCTTTCAACTGCAGAATTTCTAGAAATGAATCTGAAGCTTCTTAGAGCTGTCAACCAAATTCAGCCTGGCCAAATAACTAGGAATAAGGTAACTGGTTTTCTCAGTTATCTCCTCCTCCACGAGGAAGGGGCACTTGGTGTTGCTGATGAGCTGAAGTACTTGATAGAACTTGTTATCAGCCAACCAGAGAAGCCCTGTAACGAGGTGGAAACTTTCCTGACAGAAATTAAAGCAGTTATTAGGGAGGCTGCTTCTCTAAGTAACTCACTTGATGGAGTATGTGCACATTCTCCTAAGGTTGAGGTTGCTAAGATTAGACTCCTCGAGGAAAAGATTTGGCTTCTGAAAGCAGAACATTTCCTCAAAGGACCACGAAATACAAGCTTTATCGACAACCCATATTGGGATTGGAAGTCTTGCATTACATCACTTGACAAGGGACTAAAAAACTTGAGAAGCTTTTCGAAAGATCTACCCAAGGTCAGGACAATACTTTGCAAACAGAACTTATCACTGGTTGAAGAAGTTCCTAGGGAGCTACAATCTGTCTTGCAATCCTTTTCTGCCAAAGAAATCACAGAGAAAAGGATGAGGGAATCACTATTGCTACTGCTTTTAAAGATTTTGGTTCTCAAGGCAGACTTTTATCTTTTGGAGATACTGAATGGTAATGCAAATTTGCTGTCCCTTGCAAAAGATCGAATTGAATCTGTTCGTGAGGGCCTGAAGTTGCTTATGACATTTGTCGCAAATGTACCAAAGGAGAGTTCAGACCATTTGGAATTCATCTTAACAAACATTGAAGCTGTGGCTAAAAGGATAATATATCTCTATCACTCATTTCTAACCAACAAAATCGCTGAAGAGTTGATCGAAAGAATGTACCTTACACTTTCAGAGTTGTTAGATCAGATTAAAGTTAACAAGGCAAAGCTGAGAGAGCTTTATCCCCAAGTTCAAGGATCATGTTTCCCCAAGACCAATGGATTGGGGTGTGTTGATTTTCTGTTGAGAAACCTTAAGGAGCTGCAAACCCATAAATCTAAGTCAATTGCAACTGTGAAGAATCAAATTGAAAGAATCCAGGGGGATATGGAGTTCTTTAGATCTTTCCTCAATGATAGAGTAAAGGAAAGAACTCAACATCAAGAACTGAAAGGTCTTGGTGAACGCATTACAGAGGTGGCATACAAGGTGGAATACGTCATTGACTCAATCGAGGTTGGCATTGGTGATCACTTACAACATCTGTTATGGCTTGACTCTCTCTTAGAAGATATTAGCCATATTAAGATGGAGGCAGTCAAAAGTTACCAGAAGAAGACTTGTGATGGCATACCCCATAATGTCACCAGAAGTTCAGCCCATATGATATCACAAGTTAGTGCCCCAGAACCTGATGAAGTGGTGGTAAGTCTCAGTGATCAGGAAGAAGTGATAATTGATCGGCTTATAAAAGGATCCTTGCAACAAGATATGGTTTCTCTTGTGGGTATGCCAGGAATAGGTAAGACAACTTTGGCCAAGAAGTTGTACAATGATTCTAGAGTTACTTATCACTTCCACATTCGTGCATGGTGCTGTATCTCGCAAGTATATAGTAAAAGGCAGGTGTTGCTCGACATATTAAGCAACATTAGTGGGCTTACTGACTACATTCATAAAATGACTGATGAAGATTTAGATCTGGAGTTGTATCAGCAATTAAAAGGAAGAAGGTATCTCATAGTTATGGATGACATGTGGAGCACAGAGGCATGGGATGACTTGGAAAGATCATTCCCAGATGATAAAAATGGTAGCAGACTTCTAATAACAAGTCGTATCCAGAATGTGGCCTTGAATGCTAAACCTAATAGTGATCCTTATCTTCTTCGTCTCCTCACTGATGATGAAAGTTGGAGCTTACTACAACTGAAGAGTTTTCATGGAAAAGGTTGCCCAACAGAATTGCTTGGAGTTGGAAAGGAAATTGCTCAACAATGTAAAGGACTACCTCTTTCTGTGGTTGCAGTAGCTGGTCTCCTTGAAAGGACCGAAAAGAAACCAGACTTGTGGAAACAAATTGTTGACAGTTTGAGCAGAAGGTTAATAGATGATCCACAAACCCAGTGCAAGGAAATCCTAGAGCTGAGTTATGAGCAGTTGCCATACAATTTGAAAGCATGCTTCCTTTATTTCGGAGCATTCCTGGAGGACAAAGATATCTCTGTGCGCAAGTTGATACGGTTGTGGGTTTCTGAAGGTTTTATTAAGAAAAGCGAAGAGAAAAGCTTAGAGGATCTTGGAGAGGATTACCTAATGGACTTAGTCGGTCGAAGCCTTGTACTGGTTTCTAAAAGAAGATCCATAGGTGGGGTCAAAACATGTCGAGTTCATGACATGCTACATGATTTGTGCCTGTCAAGATCTAAGGAAGAAATGTTTCTCCAGCCAATTACCAAGCGTGATGAACCATTTGCTTCTTTTGATGGTTTAGATGATGATGTTGATTTTGATCATTATTACCCTTCAAAACCATTAATATATGAAAGACATCGGCTTTGCATTTGTTTGGAGCGGAGGCATTTCATCAAATCAAAACCTTCTGGTCCAAGAACAAGGTCTCTGCTATTTTCTGCAATTGCTGATAGGTATCCCAGATGCCCATATGATATCACATTCATTTTTCAAAATTTTAAACTTCTCAGGGTGTTGGATTTGGAATCCATCAATATGGGGATGTTCTTTCCCATTGGATTTGATTTATTAGTTCAACTAAGGTACTTAGCAGTCAGTGGGGATCTGGATTCTATTCCACCATCAATAGCCAGCCTCTGGAAACTAGAGACGTTTGTTGTGAAGGGATTAAAAGGTATGGTTGTGTTACCTGTTATTATTTGGAGCATGAGAATGTTAACACATGTTCATGTAACTAGTTGTGCAATGTTCGATTTGCAAGACGACCAGCTTGAAAGTTCCTTGGTATTGGATAACTTAGTAACTCTTTCCACACCAGCTCTTTCTGGAGGGAAGGAGACATTGAAGATACTGAGGAGATTTCCCAATCTTCACAGGTTAAGATGCATCGTTTTTGAATCTCCGAGTTCTCCTATGGGATGTGATCAATTTCCACAATTTGACATTCTAAATCAGCTTGAATCACTCAACATCTCTGGTAGGGCCCTTAATCAGGGAGAATTGAGCTTCCCCCTGAATTTAAAAAAATTGACTTTGTCTAGGCTTCGCCTGCCATGGAAACGTATGTCTGCTATCGGGAGACTACAGAGCCTTGAGGTTCTCAAATTACTTTCTAATGCCTTTGAGGGCCGGATATGGGACATGAGGGAAGGGGAGTTCCTAAAGTTGAAATTCTTGAAGTTAGATTCTCTGAATGTTGTTGAGTGGAATGCCACTTGCGATCACCTTCCCAACCTTCAGCAATTATTTTTGCGACACTGCAAAGAACTTGAGGCAGTTCCATTCTCTTTTGGGGAAATTCCTACCTTGCTGATGATTCAAGTGCAACGTTGTGGCCTTTCCACAGAAGAGTCAGTCAGGGACATTGAGGAGCAAGGGATTGAAGGCCTCAAGATCTTCATCAGTCATTAAGATTTGTATTTCAGGTAATCATCTTGATTTTGGATTGAAACTTTACCACATACTTCTAGTCATGCAAGTACTAGAGTTTAGCAAATTATTCGTGCATCAGAATCTTTTGTCTCGTGACATTTTTGTGAGAATCAGTTACCTTGAGGTCAAATGTTAGCTTTAATATATGAAGCATTTGGGAACTTAAGACTTTCAACTGGGAACATGTTGTTTTGACATCTTTGTTTTAGTTTCTTTAAAGTGACTTTTGCCATTGTAATTTTGCATAGCTCTTCATTTACAAAGCACGGTTATGGTAATGTCGGCAGAATACAAAATAGGTCTTGTCGTATACCACTGGCTTTTCTACAAGCTAGCTTGAGTGGCGTGCTTTCTGAAGAGGTTAAAGTTGTTGTGCTCCAATATATCCCCTAAAAGTGAACCTTCATTGATAGTTTGATTGATAAGCTTTGTTGTTAACAATTTCAGTATTCTGTTCCATTGCAGATGGAAATAGAAGACTTTTTCTTTGAGGAGTTGAACATAATGGAAGAGTTTGAGATATCTTAAAACGTCAAAAAGGAAGGAATTTGACAGCTTCTTAGCGGGAAATTCTGCTGAAAGAAGTTGCAGCTTTAGATAAGTTGTCTGGGTAATTCTCTTGCACATGACATAGCAATCTTTTTAATTGTTTCCTGATGCTTATGAGTTTTCGAGTTGAAAATCTTCTCCAGTTTCTATTGTTTTTGCATGAGGAACATGAGATGTCACACTAACATGCCTGTGTCTTTCACAAAAGCTTGACATTTTTACTGTAAACTCCTGAGTCTTTGCATCTGATCCTGCTGGTGTGTTGCATTTGCATGTCTATGTAGTCCCTTTTGAATAAAACAGAATCAGATCCTAAGTGAGTTTTACTTTTATCCATCAGAGATGGCAAAACATATAGAAAATTCAAATCTACAGAATAAGTCTAAGAGAAGAAATAAACGTTGTGGAATGAGGGCATTTCTGTAACTGGAAAAAACTGGAAGGGAGAAGGGGGAAGATAGGAAAGATTCTTAAATTGAGTTTGAAGTTGTTTTCAAACTTCAAGCACTGTAAATTTCAGCATGGAACCATGTTCCAAAATTTTAGCTCAGTTTTTTATTGAACAAATGAAAAAGAGCTTTTATAATGCATTAAAAACTTGAAATGCTGTGACTTTCAGCAGTCTTTCTTGAGAACAATTTTACAAGAATAAAATAAAGTACAGTTTCAGCTATATATTGTGCAAATTGTGCGAATTCCAATTGTTTAATCTCTTGAAAAGGGAACATGTGGTGTGAAATCTGCCAGTTTTATTATTCTTTTCCAGTTTCCACTTGAGTTGGACAGATTCTTTTCCAATCTCACATGTCATAAGTATCATGAATGCTAGTATTTCAGTTGTTATGGAATAACTTTTTTGGCTGCCTCATGTCCTTATTTTCTCTTCAATGAAGTGTTGACATTTTGTCGGTTTGAAGCATAGCTAAGCATGTCATTTCGTTTCAGGCTTATTGTGGAGGTTCAATACCAAGCAGACGTATCAAACACAATTTTGTGTGGAATAAGATGCTTTATGTGACATCCATAAATTTGATGATTTTGAATGCAAAGCCTAACATAAGGGACAACTTGATCGAAGTGCTTCAGAATCTGCAGCAATCTTTGACCTTAATTAAGTGAAGGCACCAAGAGAGACTTCAGCATTAAGGGTATCAAACATCTTATGCTTCTTGATTTGTTGGTTAATTTTAGTACTTTATTTTTTGGTCCATTGCAACTGCATCAGCTCTTGCCAAATCAATATTTTTTTCTACTTTAGCTGATCAACTTATGTGATTTGTCCAGGGAAAGTAGCTTATGGCCTAATGGGGAAGGAAAATCTTTAAGGTTATAGCAGATGGAGTTGACAAGACTGGAAGCTTGACAAGCCAAGGTTGTACTTAATTGCTAAGTGTTGACAGTAGCTTCGGAGGTGCAAAAACTGTACGTGTGTTTATGGATCAATCCATAATTTTGTTGTCTCTAAATCCATAATTTTCTAGGCACAATAATGAGCACATGACTACAATTTTTATGCAAAGATATCCTGATTGCAGTTTTTTGATATTATGATTCATATTTATTCTGCTCCTTGTCAGAATAAATGACAGTAGGCCTTGCCTGTACAAATGACAGTAGAACTTGTTAAGGAGTATGCTCAAACTTCTTGCTTAACAACTTATGATCCCCTGATGTAAACAATTTCATGATTTCAGTCGAAAGAATCTATGTTGCACAATTTCGATAATGTAGCATATGAATGTGAAAGAAGCTTGGAATATGCATATGTTTAGCTTTAAACGTACTACTCAATGAACAAGGCGGATAACAAAGTTGGAAGGATACAGGGTTTCTACAGTTGCCAATGGACTGGCCACTGCAATCCACCATTGATGGTCAGATCTGAGCCGTCCAATTCAAAATTTCAAACAATAAATTTTTTGTTTTATTTTTAAATTGGAAAGCTTAGATCTAGTCTAGCATACCCTGCTATTGCACTCGCAATGGTAGGAGTCCCTCGTTCAAAATTAAAGATGGTGTTTCGATATAAGTTCTAAAAACTACAAAATGGCTCGAAACAGAGAAATGAACAAGAGGATTAAACAATAGAAAAATTGAACTATTAATAATCAATATTTATTGCATATGTTTTACTGCTTTTCCTACAATTTATGTTTGAATGTGACAGTTTTATATTCAAAAAAATATATGTTTTAGGTTTCTACTTTGCTTCTTTTTCAAATTCTTCTTATGCTTTTTTATCCAGTCATCCTTTCAATCCAAAATAAAGGCCAAAGATGAATAATAATTTCGACATACTGTCGCGAGAAAAGGACCATATGTTATAGAGGTGTGTCGAATGCTCCTTCAAGCTCCATCCGACTATACTATATAGCTTAGAAGAAGATCCATAAAAATAATGGTCAAATCAAATGATCTCCCTCTACCTGCAAAGAACGTGCCCTTTAGTAGTCAAACAAAATGCAACACTTTTTCCCAAATTTTGGGCTAGCTTATTTCTACTTTGGGATGGAATGTTCTTGCACATGGATATCGAATTTGATCATAGGTGTTTCTTGTTTTACTTTGTAAAAAATACAAAGATTCTCAAGGATACATGGAAAGTAAAATATCAAGTCTAAATAGTTCAAATGGTGATACCTTTAATTCTATTCAATTACATTACAGGAAAGTTCATAATTCACCAGACCAATCATTTTTATAACTTTGATTTTGCCATTTCTCATTTGTACAGGCACTTTCTCTGCTCTTACCAACTCATCAGGTTGAGTAGTATGAACTATGAATATGTTACAACTTTGGTCAGCTTCAATGTACCATTTGACTTGAACACACAAAAAAAAAAGAAGGAATACTAAATCACAAAAGTCACAAACTTGGGCCATTTCTTTCTAACCAATTTGGAGGCTGCTTCTTGTACAATTTTATTGAACCATTTTGGTTTTCCGGTTAAGAAAATGAAGCATCCTATGATTGTTCCAATCACCATTCCACAACGACAACCGATTAAAACAGCTGTCCAAGTAAATCCACTGAAAATTTCCTCATTATCTTCTTGATCCAGTTCCGGTTGCGGTACTGGCTGTGACAACTCATTAGTTCCACAACTTTCTGACAGAGGAAATCCACATAATCCGCTGTTTCCAGTGTAACAACGGTTATCAAATGTACCAAACTGCTTTCCTCTAGGTATGTTACCAACAAGATGGTTGTGAGATACATTGAAAACTGAAAGATAAGACAAAGCAGCAGGTTGCTGGGAAATATCCCCATCGAGTTTGTTCCCCGGCAGGTCTAATGATTCAAGAACAGTTAAATTTGGCCATGCTTCTGAGATTTGACCTTGAAGGCTGTTATGAGATAAGTTTAGCCCTCGAAGTGCGATGAGATCTCCAATGACTTGTGGGATCTGCCCCTGGAAGTTGTTACTTGAGAGATCAATGGTTGTGAAGACGGACAGAATTCTCAACATTTGAAGTTCCAGCCCTTAAAAAAATTATCACCACTACAGAATCTTTATAAAGGTTATTCCCCATGTAGTTCAACTGTGCTGTAGTTCCATCTATTCTCATCATACCTCTGAGATTGTTGAAGAGTCTTGCCGGCAAACTCCCAGTGAAGTTATTGTTTGAAAGGTCAAGGATTCTCAGGGAAGAGAATGACAGTTTTTGAACTCTTATGTTGCCTTGCAAATTGTTGGATCTCAAGCTTAGTACCTGCAACTTTGGAAGAGTTCCCAACCATCTAAAGTTGTTGTTTCCAAGATCGAGAACTTTCAATTCTTTACAATTCGAAAGAGAATTTGGCAGTGCTCCTTCTAATTGATTGTCACGCAAATTCAGAGTACTCAGTTTGTTTCCTACTGGAAAAGTTGCTGGAATGTTCCCATGAAAGTGATTTTTGTGCATATCTAACACGGAGAGGTCCATGCTCATGTTCCCCAAACATAGAGGAATTCTGCCACTCAAGTTGTTGTTCGACAAATCAAGAATAGCGAGTGAGCTTAATTTGCATATTGATGATGGGATTCTCCAGTAAGATAGTTATCTGGAATCATGAAGACCTGTACGCTGGCAGGTGGAATAACCACAGGCCCTTGCAACAAACATGAACTAAGATCTAGATAAAGCAGATTTGGGAGTGGAATTTGGCTCAGATCAATTAGAGAGTTGTAGGAGAGATTCAAATAGAACAAACGCTGACTCCAGTTATACCCTTTTTTATCTGAAAATATATCACCATGGAGCAAATTCTCTGAAGGATCTAGCTTATATAGGTTATTTGCAGGCACTAAGAAATCCAAATCTTTGATTCCACAAGAGGACAAAAACAGAAATGCAACAGATTGAGGCAAGGTAGAATTAACACCATCAGTGATCAGCAAAATGTTATTGTTAGAAAGATCAAAAGTTTGAAGCTGGTTGCAGTTTGAAAACATGCTAGCCTGCACAACACCGCCGAAATTGTTTGATGACAGATCAAGCAGTGCTAGATTTACAAGTTTTGAAACTGATTTTGGAACAGGACCATCCAGCTTATTTCCACTCAGATAAATTCTCTGTATTGACTGATACTGGAAATCATAGAGTTGGCCAGTAAGTTGATTGGATTCAAGGTCTAAAAATATCAATGAGGGAAGGCTAAACACCTAAGAGGGTACTGCACCGGTCAAGAAATTGCTTCCCAACATGAGTAAAGCTAGGTCTTGCAATCCGGTAACATTGTGGGAGGGTATTGGACCTGTAAAGGAATTCTATGACAAATCTAAACCCTCAAGATTTGTCAAGTTGATCACTGAAGCAGGAAAAAAACCACTGAAATAGTTAGTACCTACAGATAATTTCTGCATATTGTTGAAATTGCTGAAACTATTGGGGCATTTGGCCTTCAAGACTATACCATGAAAAGTCTAAGAAAATGAGTTGCTCAAGATTTCCAAGTCCGGAGGGTACCTGGCCACTCAAATTATTAAAATTAAGCATCAAATAATTCATTTTGGTGAGATTCCCAAGAGATTCAGGTATAGGACCCCAAAAGTTGCAGGATGAGAGATCTAATAGCTTAAGAATTTCAAATATCCAATGGATTCTGGTATTTCTCCAGAAAAACCGCTTTCAGAAAGAGCTAGATAACTCAGCGTGCTGGTGGTGGTGTTCCATTTCACATCTGACAAGTAACCATAAAGGTCATGGTTGTTAGTCAACTCAACTCTTACCAAGTTTGGTAGTTCGAAAATGTCAGCTGGCCTGGCATTTGCCATACAAATTTGTGCTACCAAGGTTCAGAATTGTTAATGAAGCTGACAGATTACTTGGAATTACTGAAGTAATATCTACCTCTGTAAATAAAAGCTTCTCTTAACCGTGTTAAGTTTCGAAGAAGCAACTTAAAAACAGGCGGTTGGATTCTAATATATTGCAAAGGCTGTGAGAGATCAAGGGTGACTAAATTGGAGAAGCTCAAGAATTCAGATGGAAGTTGACCTGAAAATCCAGAGCTGGAGAGATTGAGGTGTGTCGAACTCGAAAGCCCACCAAACTTACTGGAAATCAGTGAAGAAGAGAAATCATTGTGAGCAAGGCTGAGACATTTGAGGTAAGAAAGCTGAAAGAGGCTGCTGTTGGAATTGATTACCCCATGAAGCGGGCTGCAGCTAAGATCCAGGCCAATAACTTCACCACTTAGCTCATTACATGTTACTCCATCCCACCTACAGCAATCTGTCCTTCTGTTCCAAGATTTCGTCCTCGGATAAGAAGGCACACCATTGGAATCACAGCCTGAAGAAGCTGTGTTGTCTATATCAATGCTTTTCTTGAATTGCAACAAGAACTGGCTCTGGTCACTAAGGCATAAATGGCTTGCATTGGTGGGAGATGAAGAAAAGACCATTTGATAGTGCAAGAAAACCAAAATAAGTTGAATACGTTTTCCCATTTTACCTAAATCAAATGCTTCAGATATTAATGAGCTAAAACTTTGATCTGGTTGGATTACTACTTAACATGAAGCTAGCTTTTATACATACAGAGAAATTCAGCAAAAACCCGTACCATATATTGCATGAAGATGCATACAAACTTTGATTAGGTTTTAATCAAATTAAAATAAAAAATCATCTTACATTTCTGCATATGTCACTGAATATGCATTGAATTGAAAGAAGCAAGGACCATCAAGAGCCATTCAAAGTTTTGACCTTGCAATTTTGTTAGAAAGTGTAATGATGGAGACGAACTTTAATTACATATTCTTGTTGCTAAAGCGACCACTAAATTGGTGGTAATTTCTATTCAAGAGCAACAAAACTACTGATCATTTGCTCAAAATTGTCAGTTTTTTGCTGCTGTTAGTAGTTATCAAGGTAGTTATCAAGCGTCCACTAAATTGGTTGTAATTTTATCTTCTTCTCATTACATCAAAAGAGGGACTAGTGAAAACTCTCCAATATCAACCTTAAGAATTTAAGCCGCATTACCATATTGGAAGTTCATTTAATTAGCTATGATTGAGTTATCACTAATAAAATTTGAGTCATTTATGAAATGCCTTTTTCTATATGCTTATTGTTCATCTTTTATTTAATTTTCTTTTGGTTATAGTCCAAGACCAACTTTAATGTCTGCCTTAAACAATTGTGCAACAATTACCCCCACCACACGCTGCTGGTGGTCTTTTTTTTTTTTTTTTACTTCCAATTCAAATATGCAAATTATAGAGTTTCATTTTTATGTAGAATAGTATGAAAAAAGTTAAAAATAATCAGAATGGTCAATGCACTCCAATCTCAAAGTGATTTTTTGCACTCCATGTGAAGGAAATAAACCTTGAGTGCGAGAAACATTTCTTGGCATAGATTCAACTGAATTTTATCCGGAATAATTATGAGATACTCAAATCATTTGAGTTGACCTTATTACGAATTTCTTGCTAAATGACATGGGATGCTCAAATTATACACTAACATAATATCGATTATGAAATATGTCCCAGACGCCTCTCTCCTACTACTTTTGCTTGAGTGGCATCCATCTACTAACCCAATTGACTTTTATTCCTTCTGTTAAATGATCCACATAGAAAATTGATATTTTAGAAAATATTACTTATTTGGTTTTACCAATAAACCATTGACTATATTAAGGTAATGTAATCGACTGTGAGATAAATATTTATTACGTGCGAAAGCTATTTTATGATCTATACAAGAAAGATCTATCTAAAGAGTACCCAGATGACACTTGTTAAAGATAGAATTTAGCTGTCATTTTTTTAGCAAATTAAAGTCAAAAGTGATGAGTACAAATAGAAGGGATAGTAATAACTCTTGTTTTGTACATTTACATGGTAAATTCATTAGAAAGACCCATAAAAGGACACTCGGAAGAAGCAATTGCTCACATTAACTGCTGACCAAAGTTTTGAAACCCAGATTGGACATCTACCCGGAAAAAGATTGGGTTGGAGATCATTAATACAACCATTGGGTTAATTGTAATTGACCCATGATGTCATAAATATGTTATAACTTCTTTTATAATATAAGTGCCATAAATATTTATGTGTAGTCAAGTGGCTTACATAAAAAAAAAATCCAATTGAGAAAATATTTGGAATGATAATATACATTAAATAATTCTTCAATTTATCTTTTTAAGAGGAAAGTGCTAATCCAAAGAAAATTTAAAAGATACAAAAAGACCTACATAAAATTAATGCCTAGCAGAACCAGTAAACGTATTGTTTATTAATGTCAAGATGCTATTCGCCTCTTTAGAAAAAAATTAATTCTTACATTAAGTTAGAGGTTAGAAAATCAATGTTTAAGAAAAAATTAGTTTTTTGGTGCTTTTAAAAATAGTATTTTGATAATTTTATTGTTGGTAGTGCAATTGAATGGCAAATTTGAAATAATATGGAAAAAGAACGCTGGCTCGCAAATTAACCAACCACATGAAAAAACTAAATAGATTTGTACATGGGCAGACAAGGTAAGAATCGAGGCAATTCATTAAATTTTCCATCCAATATTGAACCCAAACAGTTCTCGAAAAAAAATTCCGATCCAATATTTTCTAGTTTGACGGTCTATTGTCTGATTTTTCGAGTTTTCATGAAACAAATCGATTCTTAAAGCTTTCAGGGTTTGAGGTCTAGATCAGCCCAGAAAGTGGCCTAATTAACGGTTCGACCAGGCTGAGTTTTAAAACCAAGCTGTTTACTGTGTCATGAAATGAATCTTTCCCTTTTTAGTTGTGATTAAAAGCTTGTTTGACTTTTTCTTTAAGCTTTTTTCTAGTGGCAGAGGGGTGAGATTTAAGATATGGGGAGAAAACAGGATGATTAAAATTCAAGATCTCTAATTTTTGAAATTTCAACCTTAGCTACTACATAAAATGATTAAAAAAACAAAACTTGTTCGACCTTGCCAACTTGTATAACATTGTGCCTTGTGAACTAACAATCATAAAAAGAAGACAGAATTACATATTTCATGTATTGTTAGACATGTTTTCAAAACTAAATTCAATTGATAGGAACATTAGTCAGGTGATTGAGAGGTTTCTAATTCGATTCTCGCACTCTACCTCTTTCAATTCGTAAAGTCTAGAGTCCCACTTACAAAAAAAAAAAAAAAGGTTAGCTTTTGTGCTTATTTTGGAGAGTAGCAAATAAAAATATTAAACATTGGATACTTTTAAGAACAATTATGTACTAAATTAATTTTTTTGGGTGTTTAGACTTTAAATTTGATACAGGAAAAGAAAACCTAAGGGTCTACGAAGTTGAAATTAAGATACATCCAAAAGTAATTTCAAACCAAAACAACTATCTGTAATAGTAGTATCAAGTTTTGCAATTTTTTTCTAAAAGAAAAAGTCAAATCAGCTAAAGCTCAAAATAGGCTCCAAAGAGGTCATTTAACATATTATTTATTTATTTTATATATGATTACTGGCAACCCACATCGGTGAGATTAATACATATACTGAATGCAGTTATGAATTATAACTCAAAATTATATAGAATAAACTCAAATTAAATAAAACTAAACAAAATTTCAATATGTACAGTATATCTTGTATTAATCAATTATTAATTTGGCTAAGAATTAAGTCATTAAAAGATTTTTTTAACCTTTACGAAATTTTTCTGCCTAGTCAGGTGTGTATTTTTCCCTCTTTGTTGAGTTGGGGGTTTCTTAAGGTGAGTGCTAGTACAGAATGCTCTGACACAATCTTATGCAATCCAAATAGGGGACTGACATCTACTGAACTAGATATTAGGGAATATAAAATAATTTTGACAAACCTCAAAATTCGCTGGTGCCTGGTGTAGTATTTCGGTCTCAAATTTTTTGGGTCCGTTTGGGTCGGTGGATTTTGATTCAAGGAAGGATTTAATTTGAAAAGATTTGAAATGAATAGATATAAAATTTACTGTAATTTAAAATACATTGTTTGGATGCCATTTATCATAAGATGGGGATAGTTTATAGTTAACAAAAGTAATGGGTAAAAAACAAAAAATGAAAGTTTTAAGGGTTGAAATCAAATTTTTGGTTTTTTCTCCCTTCTTCCTCAATTGGATTTTGAATTAGAAATGGCAATTGGGACAGGTGTCTGCAGGCACCGGCCCTACGGGAGGCTAACAGGGCGGGGGTTGAGGCAGGTGGTGGGGTGGGGTGGGGTGGGGCAGGGCGGGGGAAATTTTTTCCCCCTGTATAGAAACAGGGCAGGTATACCCCCTACCCTCTGTCCCGCCACCACTTAAAAAATAATAAATAAATAAATAAATATATGTATATAATTATATATATAATATTTAATTTAATTAGTTACAAATTTATAATAATGATATTATTAGTTATATGTATTATATAATGGATATTAGTATATATAATATAATTGATATTATCAATTATACTAATAATTATACATGTCTACTAATCGAAATTATTGATTAGTTAAACTAAATTAACTAATACATTTATACTAAATTCCTAATTACACTTAACACAATAACACTTTGTTCCTAAAAAAAAACACATTAATGATTTAATAATTATATTTGTGTCAAAAGTAAAAATTTGACTACTTCAATTATATTTGTTTCATGATGTTGGATTGTATTCAAATAACTCTTGTTTGATTGTTTTTATGGGTTTCAATTATGAAATTACAATGGATAATAATTTGATAATGTATTGATATTTTAGTACTTGATTATTTGCTAAAATTTAATTATAAAAAAAATTATTTGACAACTTTTTATTAGCTCCGCGGGGCACCCGCGAGGGGCGGGGGGAATTAGTGGGCAGCAGGGTGGGGGGCGAGGGCCCTCTCCTCCCCCATTGCCATCCCTATTTTGAACGATTGAACCTAAGCTCCAAGCCTAAAAGTCTTTCTTATTCTCTGTGTATTTTACCAACGCAAATACAAATCCTTCCATGGTGGTTCTTATCATCTTATCATCGAATAATAATCCTTTCCTTACTCAAAATGGTACTCAAGGACTCAAACAATATTGAATAGAGATGGTCACTATATTCGATGATAAGATGATTAATGGTAGCTGGTAGCCAATTTTTTCTCCATTGAGTCTTGAAAGTTGAAATGATATTCTGAGAGGGAAAGAAGAGAGGGAAGAAGAAATGTTAAAGAGGGGATTTTAAATATGGATTAATCTTTTCTACATTGATAATGCATACACTGTCAGTATTGGATGAATGACAATTATGCAAAATTTGAATTTGAAATTCAATTTTTGCACATGTGTCATGGATCCAACGGTGATAGTGTATGCACTGTGAGTGTATATAAGATTTACTCTTTAAATAACCTGTATTTTGGATAAATTTGAATTCTATCCATTTTAACAAGAAAAATTTT